TCTCTCTCTCTCTCTCTCTCTCTCTCTCTCTCTCTCTCTCTCTCTCTGTTTGTGTGTGTGTGTGTGTTCATAGCTTCCAGGTCTCTTAATGGGCCTGATATTTGTTCCTGCTGTGGATCAAGACTAATGCAGGCTCCCCCGACCTTATACCTTGGATGATGGTGCTGGCTATGGCAGGGATGGGTAACACTTGAGCACTTTCTGTGTGCCAGGCTCTGTTCCAAGCAGGCATGCCTAGCTCTGTTCACTTAAGACCCAGTCAGCTCTCTTCCACACAGTGACTTGCTGACAGGGCTTCCCAGCATGGCATTTGCCTCCTGTTGTGGTTGGCTCTTACAGACATTGAGAGGAAGGCTTTGGAAATCTGAGTTGGATTATGTCACTCCTCAGAGACCTTCAATGGCCTTCTATCATACTGTGAATGACAGATAAAACTCAGTGGTCCACAAGCCCCTCACTAGATGGCACCTCTATGTTAGCCATCTTTAGGGGGAGCCAGTCCTTCGCTCTGTCAGGCACTCTTTCAGAATCTCTGCCTGGATGGTTCCCTTTCAGTCCACTTCTTTCCATGTCTACTCAGACGCCACTCCCTGATGAGCTGTCAGTCGTCATTCTCTATGAAGCCCTTCCCTCCATCCCCTCAGTGTCTAGCCCCTTTCCCCTCAGCATTTTCACCAACTGCTACTGTGCAGTCTCTTCATTATCATCTGCCTCCACTTCCTGCAATGTGAACGCATGACAATGCCACCTTTATCTGTATCCTAAGCTCTCAAGACAGTGACAGGCACACAATGATCAGTACATATGAACTGAGTGAATGGTGGCTCTTAGCTCCACAGCCTCAATGATGCCACTTTCTCCAGTTGTACAGACGAAGACGTCAGGGCAGGTCTGCTGCCTTCCATAATTGACACTGTCCAGGATCTCACAGCAAGTAAATGGGGACATGGGTGGACACATCAAGCTACCATTGGCCACCAAAGTTGTGAGCCATGGTCCAGCCCACGCTCTTCCCCTCTCTGTCATAGCATTTTCAAAAGGATTTCATCTTTCTCTGCAGCAATCTGGAACTGCCTGAGATCTGTCAAACTGGTACTTGCTTCTCTGCTATGGAATACTAGTGTCACAGAGCAGAAGACAGCCAGAGGCCCTATAACCTCCACAAGTAGTGGTCCATTCTATATACACAGGGCCCTGTGGGCAGTGACTCTTCGGAATGTCCCAACATGGCAGTGTTCCTGTGCCCCATTGCCACAGAGCCTTCTGCTAAACAGAGCGCTAGGTGGAGGCTGAAAGCATTGAAAAGTAATCCCTGAGACATTTCGCATCCCTATCCCAAAGACCTTGAAGGTGTGAGGCCAGAGGGAAGAGAAGGCCTGAGAGGAACGACCTCACCAGGCCTTTTGATTTGATAACGTCATTTTAACATCAAAATGACCACTGATGTCTCCTCTCTTACCCCACATTTTTGCTTTCATTTAAAAAAATCCTATTTCTAGGCTTATACTCAGAAAGAGCATTGACTTTTTAAGTGTAGTTCTGTGGATCATGGTACACAGTATGACCACCACTCCCCAGAGCATCCTTTGAGTTATTATAATGGAGTATATCCTTTCCAACATCCTCCCACTGGCAAGTCCCAGTAGCTTATCCATCCATCTGGTATTCCTTTATCCAGAAAGTCTCAGTAAACGAAAACCTATGATATAGAGTCTTTTGGATCACATAATAAACATTGTAACCTTGTAAGAGACTGTCAAATTAGCTTTGTGGAGCAGAGACCACGTTCTTGCCACCAGTCCTCACCAGCACTTAATACGCCATTCAGAAAAATCTTTTAAGCTATTCTAGGCATGTCATAGCAGCTGATGAAGGATGGGGAACACCTTTGTGCTTACTGATCTCCCCTGTGTCTGTGTTGATGATGTATCCAAATACCTTTATATCAAAGATGTTGCCTCTTCTATTTGTGTCAGACTGTTGTGTGTCCCAAGCATTCTGCCTCTCTGGGGATCCAAGGGCTGAGTGCTGATTTAACATTGCTCTTTTGAGAATCCTGACCATGTGCTGGAAAGCTGGGGGTGAACGCCTGTTATCTAGAACTAAGAACCGCAGCAGCTGTATTCCAAATTTAGTAACTGAGAAAATTCTTCCAGGCTGTCTAGTCCAATCCCATTTTCTGCTTCTTAAAAAGGAGACAACTGAAGCGCAGAAAGGTTGTGCTTTGCTCACATCTCACAACTAGAAGGCTGGTGAATTAGATCAAGAACTTCCACCAACTAACTTGATCTTTCAACATCCCAAGATCTTGTTACTGTAGGCCTTAGGCACTGTGCAACATGTGGTCCTGGTCCCTGATAGGGTTTGAGAGAGAAAGGTAAGCAAAGCAGGAACATTTGAGGGAGGGAAGGTACATGTGGCTGTCCTAGTGGCTTGCCACCCTGGAGGAAACAGAGATAAGACAGTATTGGTTAAGCCAAACATCTAGGAGGGAGAGCATCTCAGGGTCGAGATTGGAGAGAAGCCTAAGATCAAGGTTATAACTGTGAGAATTTAATCTCATCAGAAGCATGTGTACCGGGTGTGGAAATAGTATATGGGGCAATGGTCAGTTTTCCTATTTGGTAATAGCCCCATGAGTCTCCAAATGAGTTTCTGTTTGGTTGGCCTTATGATACTTTCTAGCCCTGCTTTGACTGTGTTTTCTCCATTGCCTTGTTTTCTGGGCCTCTCTAGTGGGGAGCACCTTGGTGACCCCTCCTTCAGTCCACACTGCAGCTGCCAGAATTTAAATCCAGCAAGCGGCTTCTCGGATTTGCTTCGAGTTGAAATCAATATTTGCTGAGAAGAATGCATCTTAATTTCAGTGGCCAGTTCTCCGGGCGAGAATTGCTCTAAAACAAACCTCCAAACCCACAGACTTAATGCGTCCTAGTTCGGTTGTTTAGTAAATCTCTCCGCACAGAGAAAAATCCATTAGTCGTCAGGCAGGGATGAATGGGGGAAGGGGAGAAGCGGCAGCTTCAAGGAGGTCCCAACAGCAAGCAGAGATGGAACTTAGAACCCCAGGGACACAGGTGGATCCCCAGCTGTGTCTCCGGACCCAACCAGGACTGCTCCAGCTTTGAAGAACCAGGAGACCTCACCAGGATGTCAGTGACAGGACACCACTGAAAGAACACATGGGAAACATCCTGAGCCAACCCCAACCTCCCCCCTTCCTCCCCCCACCTCCCGCCCCTGCCTGCCTGAGGGAAGTGTTTTCTAATTGCCAACTGTCCCATTCTAAATCTACAAGGAGGCGATTGATTTTTTTTTTCCCTTCAGCAGGACGAGGGGAAAGCAATCATTTACCCCAGAACACAGACTTTAATGAATCCGTGAAAAAGGCGAGGTCACCCTGATTACATCTGCCCCTGACAGATTGGGATGGCTCCATGTGCTCTTAGGACTCACTAAGCCAAAGGAGCTCAGGATCCGGTTTCCTCTCCTGCTTCCTGAACTCTGCTGAGTCAGACTGGATCCCTACCAGGAGATCTTCTACCTGGAAGGCAGGAGACAGGGGTGTAGCATACACTGTAGACTCATTATGGAGAAGTAACTGGACTCTTAGGGGAGAATTGGGACTTTTGACTCCCTATAGAGCGTGGCAGAGTCCATCTCTGTCACTTCCTGACTGTGCGTCCAGGGCTGATCTCTTTATGCATCAGTTTCTTCAGTAAATGACAGAGTGCTGTTAGAACTCAAGGTCATGCATGCCGTTGATGGGCTAGACAAGGTGACAAAGGCTGCCACTTTAGTATCTCGGTTTATCCTGTCTCTAACATGACTTGAATATTGTTTGTTTCGTGATGAAAAGCAGACACAGAAGGGGAAAGGGGAGCCTACACAGGGTTGGAAATGAGCAAGCATTGGTATATGGGAGGGCTCTCCGCGGTCAAAGTGGGGGGAGATCAGCAGTGAGGTCATCAGGCAGAAGCAGGATGTCAGAGACTGCTGGGAAAGCATGCTCCTTTGCCTCAGGGAGTCTTAGCTTCAGATACAACCTTACATGCTAAGCTTAGTCTATCTTGGAGGTTTGGGGGTGGGCAGCCCACACTCAGAAAGCTGAAGACAAGAACAGCCCTAGCGATGATGGGTCTCCACACGTCAGTTCTCAGGCTTTCTCTTCTATGGTCCGACTCCACCTTTGCTTGCCTCTTTCTGTAGTTGGCCCTGAGCACCCAACAGACAAGGAGGCAGAAAGCCGAGGTGATATTAATGAAGGGGGAGGAGGGAGCAGGGAGGAAGAGGTATTTTTACCTTGAATTATTTTTATTAAATGTCACAACGGCTCCGCAGCACTTGGGATCTGAGTAGACAAATCAATGAAAATAATTATAGCGAACATCCTGCCTTTCCACTTTCCCTCCCTGTCAGCCCCCATAGCTCCCTGGGCTGGTAGAGAAGCACATTGCCTCGACTTGCACTCCAGCCCCTGGGGAGGGAGCAGGACTGGCCCCTCTGACCTCAACCCTTTCTTCACTTTTGTTTGTAGCAGCATACATGCTGGCCTGGCTTGGGGCTGGCATCTTGGGGGGAGGAACAACTCTAGCAGCAGCAGGAAAAATGAGCCAGAGGCCAGAGAGCGACAGGTAACTCCTATGGGTACTTAGACCCTAGGAAGGAAGCTTTTATTCTTAGAATTCATTTATGGCTTAGAAACAAACCTAAGAAGCTTAATGTTGCTAATCAGGTGATGAGATTAATCAAAGTCACATGAATGAAGTCTGCAAGAGTTATTCATCCATATGTACATCCAGCATCCATCCATCCATCCATCATCCATCCGTCCATCATCCATTTATCCATCCAACCAACCATCTATCCGTCTATCCAACCATCCATCCATCCATCCATCCATCCATCCATCCAACCATCCACTCAACTATTCGTCCATCCACCAACCATCCACCCACTCACCTAACCATCTAGCCATCCATCCATCATCTATCCATCCATCTATCCATCAATCCTACTATCTGTCCATTCATCCATCCTCCCATCCACCAACTCAACCATTCATCCTTCTATCCTACCATCTAGTCATTCATCATCCATCCATCCAGCTAGCAATGATTTATCCATCCATCCTATCATCTAACCATCCAGCATTTATGAAGCACCCATCCATTTATCCATCCAGCCACCCACCATTTATGTATTTGCTCATGCATCCTTCCTCCCATCCACCCACTCATACAATCCATAATATTCTTTTCTAAGACCCGATAAGGAATTTGTTGTGTAGAAGCCCATATTTTGCCATTTAAGAGTTAGCTGTATGTAGTGACATCTATTTGTATTAATGAGCTTCTTGGACCCCATGGCTTCTGGCTGGGTTCATTCCATGGAGATGTGCTAGAAGGAGGGGGGTAAGGCCAGGTATTCAGTTTCTCATTTCTCCCCAGGGGCTCCATCAACCAAAACCATGGCTGTGGGTTGGTGGCCATTTCCATGTGTCTTTTCCCATACTTGGGGGAGCTGGAAAACTCCTTCCAGGAAAAGGGTGCCTTAAGTACCTGTTCTCAGATACTTCCACATTCCTGTGGCACCCCTGGCCCTGTTCATGTCTTTGTAAGTAAATCTTTTACTCAGTGTACTCAGATGGTTTTTACTTCCTGCTGAGACTGACTGACAGCCTGGGCCACCTGGCCTGAGCCCATTATTTTATCTCACAGAATTTCAGTTTCTCCATGAGTGTAGTGAGGGTATGAGATAAGCTTTGCTCAGGGTAAAGGGGTAACTTCCCAGAGGTGACACAGCTGGTTTAGAGGCAGAGCTGAGAGGTAAAATCCCAACTATCAAGCCCAAAGCCTACCCTCTTTCTATCTGTTAGAATCTGGGCCCCATGCTGATGTCCTGAGCATTCAGAGAGTCATAACAACAGACAATCATGATATATAAAGGTCTGCAAACATTCTCCAGCCTCTCAGGACACCCCTGGTTGGGTTGTTGTGGGTACCTGGCACTCCACATGCAGGCGAGCTTGAGGTGTGCTGCTGGGCACTGTCAGCATCTCTTGTCTTGCTTGTGATTCACAGCCTGTCTGCAGGTCCCACTTGCTGGCTGCAATCAAGAAACACACGGACTGGTGTTGGTTGATATCATTAAGGGAGTCATTGTCACATTTTCTTCTTGTCTGAATAAATAAGACCTTAGAGAGGAGGACTCAGAATTTAAAAATAAGTTTTTATTTATGAGTATCTCTATGTGTGTGTGTATGTGTGTGTGGGGGGGTGGTTGGAGGCAGAGACAGAAAGACCATGAAAGAGACAAACATAACATACACACACAGAGCAAGAGCAAGAAAGCAAGAGAGCGAGAGAGTGAGAGAGTGAGAGAGAGAGAATGAGAGCAAGAGAGAGAGAGAGAGAGAGAGAGAGAGAAAGCATGAGAGAGAGAGCGAGAGCAAGAGAGTTAGAAAGAGAGAGAGCACAAAAGAGAGAGAGAGAGCACAAGAGAGAGAGCACGAGAGAGAGAGAGAGAGACAGAGACAGAGAGCAAGAGAGTTAGAGAGAGAGAGAGCACAAAAGAGAGAGAGCACAAGAGAGAGAGAGCATGAGAGAGAGAGAGAGAGAGAGAGAGAGAGAGAGAGAAAGAGAGAGAGAGAATGCACACATGCACATGTGCTCAGGTGCCCACAGAAACTGGAATCACATCCCCTGGATCTGAAGTTAAAAGGAACTGTGAACCACCTTACATGGGTATTGGAAACTGAACACTCGGGTCTTCTGAAAGAGCAGTAAATGTTCATAACTGCTGAGACATCTCTTGTAGCCCCAGAGGGCTGGTTTTGTTGAGTGATCCCCAGGTGCCAGGCACCTTGCAAAGGAGGTCTTTCCTTTCCTCTCCCTGCAGTCCAGACAGCAGGGATTTTCAACCCTAGATGGTGGTAACCTAGACAGAGAAAGGGGAGAAACTCACAAGAGGCCCTCTGGGTTGTGCTTCCTGTGAACGTGCAGTCTTCCTGTACTATGAGGGTGAGCTGCGCAGGCAGGAATAATCTGCTTTATTTGATCAGCGATACACAGCTCTTCAGTGTCTTTTGAGTTGGCAACTGTACTCCCCCGACCTGTGTCTTCTGCCTCATTCTCTTCCATAGCTCACTGCTTTTTAAGTTATTCGATTATTTATCGTTATTTCATGTATGTGCACATTTTGCTTGCATGTATATCTGTGCACCACGTGTGTACAATGCCAGTGGAGGCTGGAAAAGTGTTGGAACTAAAGTGACAACAGATGGTTGTTAGGCATCGTGTGGGTTCTGGGAACCAAACTGTGTCCACTGGGAGAGCAGTTAGTGCTCTGAACCACTGCACCATCTCTGCAGCCCCAGCTCGCAATTCCTTGGCAAGAGTATAGTCAAGTCTCCTGGAACCTTAACACAGACATCACAAAACCTTGCTTCCCTTTACAGGTATCACACACTGCTTCCCTGTTCCAATTCCTTACTTACATGCTGCTTGCTGCCGTAGCCAGGCTTCTATCCTGTCAAGCCAGGGTCCAGAAAAGAACATCAGGGACCTCCTGGTTACTAGTTTCTATAGGAATGAGATAGTTCTCCCCTTCAGCTTCACCCATTCATCCAGGAAATGTAATTGAGTCCCTGTTGTGTGTTGGGCATGATGGAATGCATTAGGCACTAGAGAGGAAGCATTAAACAAAATATTAAAACACTCTTCGTACTGGCCAGTTTTATGTCAATTTGACACAAGCGCGAGTCACTTGAAAGGAGGGAGTTTTAGTTGAGAAAATGTCTCCATAAGATCCAGCTGTAAGGCATGTAAGGCATTTCCTTAGTAAGTGATTGATGGGAGAGGGCCCAGCCCATGGTGGGTGCTGCCATCCCTGGGCTGGTGGTCCTGGGTTCTAGAAGAAAGCAGGTTGAGCAAGCCATGATGAGAAAACCAGTCAGCAGCATCCCTTCATGACCTCTGCATCAGCTCCTGCCTCCAGGTTCCTGTTCTGCTTGAGTTCCTGCCCTGACTTCCTTTGATGATGTGGAAGATAACTCAAATAAACCTTTTCCCTCCTAATTTGTTTTTTGGTCATGCTGTTTCACCACAGCAATTGAAGCCCTAATGAAGACACTCTTTTTCCATGGAATCTGCATCCATGTGAGTGGCAGATAATTGGCAAGCACATAAATAGTGTAAAGCAGAAGAGGTGGATGGTGGTGGTGTTGTGGGAGAGGCACTGGATCATCTGAGAGAAAGTAAGATTTAAGTTTAGAGCTGAGGTGAAAGGTAAAATCAGGGAGGGCATGCATACATGTTGGGATGGGGATTTTAGGCATGAAAGTAGCAGCTGTTAAGGTCCTGAGGTGACCATGCACTGGGCATCTTAAGGAGTATCAGAAAACTATTTCCTGGAAGGAAGGGAGTCAGGAGTAGATGAAACCAGAGTTAACAAGGGCCTGGCCATGTTACCTCAGAGGCTGGAATAAGGAAGTCTGGCAGTTTTGAAGCAAAGAACTATTGTAAAGAAATGATTGGTTTGATTTAGATTTGAGAATAATGTTTTGTTGCCAGTGGAGATTAACTGATGGAGGAAGACGGACAGGTTGCCAGGCCTCCTCTGCAGTGCTTGCCCTTTGAGCTGCCTTCCCTTTCTTGTGGCGCTTGCTCATCTACCTGCCCGCCTCTCTCACCTGGCTTAATCTGCTGAAATGATTGTTCTGTCTTCCCTTCTGCAGAAGGTGTGTGTGGGCTGTTGGCTCTGTCCACGGTTCTGAAGTCCCATCTGCACGAATGAAAGTGCTGCCGTGCACCAGAACCCATCAGTCCCTGACCTATAAGTACCCGGCATACTCATGGCTGCTGCGTGCCAGATGGGTTTATCCAGAAGTTTACTGGAATTCTCCACTCAATATCTTCAGGCTCTAGCTAATCAAGGGTAATGAAACTTCTGAAGGCAAAACTATAGACAAGGAGGGATTCTGTATGTTGTGGACAAGGGTGCACAAGACAAGGAACCCCTGGAGGAGATTCTAGAACAAGGCTGCAGAACCGGCAGTGTCAGAGAAAGCCATCACTTGGCAAGGAGGTGCCACCCCCTGAAGACCCAGTTATGGTGTTACCTGCACCCCGAGTGAGCTCTACTATCTCAGGCCAATTTCTTATCTCTCTGGCTAAACCTCGAATGTCAGTTGCAAAATGGAAAGAGGATTGTCCACCCCTGGGGACGTTCTGAGAGCCGGAGTTACTAAAATGTGTCGCAGCAGGACGCCTGGCACAAATAGGCTCCAGAAACAGATGCAGACGGGAATGGAATGTGAAGGACCTGTGCAAGTGGGACAAAGAATTCCACCTGAACGTCTGACAGAAGCCTGTTGAAAGAGCCAGTCCTCCGAGGAGAGCTTGTAGATAAAAACAGAAGGAAATCCATGCAAAGAAGCCATCTGAACAAAGGCCCCTGAAACCTTTTGTTCTTGTTGTTTTTTTTTCCTTTGCCATGATGCTCAAAATCAAGATGCTAGAGAAAACTCAATCCCAGCACCTGGCACCATTCTTGACAGGTCCTAGAAACCTACCTAATATCTGTGTGAGATGCATACCCAGTGCACGAAGAAGTGTGTATGCCTCCCCCTGTCCCTACGGGATGCCTGTCATAACCTTTACCATGCCATCAGCAGTGCCTTCCTTTCACATCCCAGCAGTAGGAAGCTGAGAAGCACAGGACATCCTACAGCTGACATGGGGGACAGCCCCAAAAACAGCCATCCTGTTTTGTTGCATTGGAACAATATGACAGTCAAGCCTCCAGCATTAGGCTACAACAGTTTTCAGGGACAAACTTGCCACAGGCCAAACATTTCCTCGAGTAGATGGTGTAATGTGCGCCTAGCATCCTTAAAGCCCATTGGCTCCTGCAGAATACAGGAATGGTCTATTCCTGAGGGTCCAGAGTGGTCTTGCTCAGGGGTAACCAGCTCCCACAAAGCCAGAGTGGGACAATCTGCAGCACTGTTCTAGGTTTGGCTGAGTTGCTACATTAATACCACTGCCTGGTTGTGACATTATATAAGATGAGCATGTCTCAAAACAAAAGAAACAAAAGCAAAGTATACCAATCAGGAAAACAATCAAATAAATAAACAAGTGTTGTGGGTGCATATTAAGTACCTGATACTGTGTGTAATATCTTTTCAATGCCAGGCAACTTGTTAGCTTCCTAACATGTATATTCTAGGATGTTTGCGAACACGACCCCATGCTTGGCAAAGGTTTCTGCAAGCCTTTTGGATGGGAACTCTCATCTGAAGTGGTGTGCAAACTTTTAAACTTTATTTTCCCAGTCAGTCCAGTCCTGGGCTGGCTCCTAGAGTGATTAATTTCAAGCCTGTCCTTTACAACCCACCAGAAGCACTTTCCTTTCACAGCCCAGCAGTAGGAAGCTGAGAAGCACAGAAGGACATCCTAGAGTTGACAAAGGAGAAAGTGTTTTGGATGGAGTCACCAGTTGTTTTGCCACTGTGCCATGTGACTAGGTCCTCATGCAATCCTGTTCCCAGACTGTCTTAAAACCTTAGCATACCTGAGTCTGTCTAGATCATTCCACCCTGTCACTCATCTTATAGTGGGGCATGCTGAGGTGAAGGGAGAGGGGAGAAGAGAGAGGGAGAAGGTGCTGGGCTAAGATATTGGTGTGAGGTCCTGATGGGCTATCACACTCCTGAGTGTGCAGGGAGGATGCTACTTCCACATTTTGGGCAGAGCCAAGAACCAGAAATCAGAGAACTACAGAGGAGAAACTCTCAGTTTTTCAGGCTTCTAGGTAATCAAAAGTGCCTGTCTGGCCGGGCGGTGGTGGCGCACGCCTTTAATCCTAGCACTTGGGAGGCAGAGGCAGGCGGATTTCTGAGTTCGAGGCCGGCCTGGTCTACAGAGTGAGTTCCAGGACAGCCAGGGCTACACAGAGAAACCCTGTCTTGAAAAACAAAAAAAAACAAAACAAAAAAAAAAAAGTGCCTGTCTGTCTCTGTTCTGTCCTCTGGGCTTTGCAGAGAAATAGGCATAGGTACCAGCTACCTACAACAGGGCTCTTGCAATAAGGTCTAGGAGAGAGAG